TCCATGTCTCATGACTTTGCATCAAATAAAAATGTAAGTGTTGGTTGATTGCCCACACAAACGGTTCAAATAGAAGAACTTCAGTGCTACTGCATTAGTAGAGAATGCTTCTTACTGAGGTTAGCTTAATAAAATTTAAAAATTACTGAAATTTTTTTGTGTAAACTGTTCGGGTTTTGTTTGGTTTCATGTAGTTGCAGGCATTCCTATTAAAAGAAGAAAAAAGAGCTTCCTGTTCACATTAGCTGGCTTTGCAACTTTTTTTTTAATAAAAAAGACATTGCCATTGAATGTGTGTCTTATATTTAAAACTTGTATAGTAAATGATCTCAACTGTTATGCTCAGCATACATAGGTCTTGGTGAGAATGATGCTGGCTGCTTCCTCTGGAAAGAGTGAACTTATTACAGCTTCTCAACATAGCAATGAATACATAGTTTACAAAGACTGCAAAAATCTGTATTAATATGTTGGATAGGCTTTCTTGTGCTCTGTACTCACTGTAGTACTTTGAGGCAGAAAGTGAACCTTGGAATTGGATCAAGAATTCTGACTTCAGTCTGAGCTTTCGGAGTGGTCTTTGTTTTATCTCCACATGCTTGTAATATGAATATTAACTTACTAATGATATCTGGATGCATTCCAGGTCAATCTCAAGATTAGTTTTAACTAACATCTGTCACTGGCAACCAAGCTGACAACCAACTATGTTGTTTTCTTATGGAAGAAAATAAATGCTTATGTCAGTATTGAGAATACTTTGATTGGTTTGGTACCAGCATATTTAAATTTCAGGAGGAAATAAAAGCTAGCCTGTTTTGAGGAAAAACTGCTTAGGTTTAGTAGGAAACTTTGGTTGTGTGGATAATGGCTTTGTACCATTGTTGATGCTGCAACTGTACAAGGTAGTATGTGGAGTACAAAAGAATTTTATGAAGTTTTACTCCCCTCTCAAACTAAAACAACGAAATTTCAACTTGGTGATGAAAACTTGTTGTAACCTTTGCTCGGGCAATACCAAAAAGTAATAGATTCAGAGAGTAGTTGAGGTTGGAAGGGACCTGGAGGTCTCTAGTCCAATCCCCTTCTCAAAGCAACATCAACTTGAACAGGTTATTCAACGTCTTGTCCATTGGATTTTGCGTATTTCTAAGGACAGGGACTCCACAGCCTCTCTGGGCAGCCTGTTACAGCGACTGATCACCCTCACTGGGGGTCAAACCTTAATTGCTTTGTTTATGTGAAGTCATCATTACTAAACTTCCATATAAACTCTTTTAAGTAGAAGCAAACAAAATCAAGAGGAAAGACTCATTTTGTTCTTTAATTTTTAGAAGGCTAGTGTAGCTTCATTTCTTCTGCATATTATTTGTCCTCTGTTTTAAGTGCTAGGAAAAAGGTGTTTTGAATGAGAATGATAATGCCAAGTCTGTATATGTAGATTCCTCTGAACAAAGAAACTTAAAGGTGGCCAATTTTTCAAATCTGAACACTTACATACCCTTTTTTTGCTGTCTGGCAGGAATCAAGTTTCAGAAGCATACTGTTCCGAATCCTCCTCTGAATTTAAATGGAATTAAAATTTAAAAAAGCCACAACAAATTGGTGCTTTTATTTCATAGTTTCTATAAAAGAGATCAAGGAGCCAGAAGCCTTGCAGGGAAAATAAAGATGTGTTACAAGAATCCTTAAAATAAACTTGTCTGACCTAATCATACTGTTGAAAACTTCATTGTGAATATTTTTGTAAGCTAACAATCTTTACTACTAATTCTTGCCTCTGTATTACCAGCTGTTTTGTAAATGTGAATGCAAGTAACTTTTTCAGTTAATCAGCTTTAGATGATTTGTTGGTTTTAAAGTTGTTCTACCTCTAACACAACAGGAGATTTCAAACATTGAAAATAAATTGGTAAACTTTTTATCCATGCTTCTAGAGTAGTGTTGGTACAAACACATGAATTCTTGTAACTTAAAAAAACTGATTTGGAGGCTGGAGTGGTAGGGGAATTTAGTAGGTAGTTTGCTGGTTAAGTGTGAGATTATCTTAGAAAAAAAAAATCATCTGTTCTTCAAGAAAGGGAGTAATTGCTGGTAAGGTACCATGAATTTTTGTGATGGTAAACTTCCCCCCTGCCCCTAGTGAATGCATAAAAAGTCACAAAGCTTATAATGGCAGAGGTCATAATTAAGGCATTTCATAACGGTTTTTCTTTGCCCTACAGCCAATTTGTCTTTAATTTAAAGACTGCTTAGAGTTTGACTACTGTAGCTTACTCTCAGATGTTTAATTGATAGGCCAAAAAAGCGTTTTTTTTTTTTAAAGGTCTGTAAAGACAAAAGCTGTACTTCAAAGTATGTATAGATGATATGAAGCAGAGGGAAATTAGGAAAGGATGCCAGTATATCAGTTAAATAATAAGATTAACAGGACAGTTGATTCTCAGTTTATAGCTGTTACCTTGCTAGTATATTTTGGTCAGTGTTCTGGGTTGTGTGTTGTCGTGTTGTCCTGGCCCCCCCACCCACAATTGGGATGTGTATGTGTATACACAGGTATTATACTTTGATTCTGCCTGAATAAGTGGTACAGGTGCATGGTGTGGTGGCATTTCCTCATAATAAGGGTTTTATAGCTTTAGATATTTAATGGTTTGGAGGCACTGTACTTTAGTATAAAGGACATATCAGAGACAGTCTATAATTACATGGCTTGAATTACTGCTCTTCCTTTTGAAGTACCATTCATATAGTAAAAGAATAACAATGCTGCAGTTTGTGGTGTTTATACAGAACATAGCTGGTTTCCTTAGTTGTGCTTACTCTGAGGTTGCTTTTGCTGCCATTGTCCAAAAATTATAATTTAAAGGAGAACAGGTTCTGTCATAAAAAAATTATAATGGTGATCATGTACAGAAGGAGCTTGAGAAATTCAGGAAACATATGAGAATCTGATGAGTACAAGAAGATATCCTTAGTCTTAAAGGGATGGGCCAGCATGTTTGTCAGAGTGGCAAAATTATCTTAGCAAGAAAGGGTACAAGCCTGCATCGTCTATATGTCAGTGGTCAAAAATATAGATGAAAAAATGGAGTACTGTCAATCTTGCAGTCAGCACTTAATGCCACGAGAAGAATCTTTGCAAAAGTATCTTTAGGTAATATTTAATTCTGTAATTAAATTCTAAATTACTCTTCTGGCTTTAAAATACATTAATCAGTGATTTTTTCATTTGTAGTTTCAAGGTCACATAATTTCTGTCCAACATGCAAACTTAAGACATATATAAAGGATGAAGTTGCCCTAAACCGTATTATTCCCCTTCTCTAAGTTTTTTGTAATTCCTAAGGTTGACTCTTTTTTTGTGAGGTAGGGGGGGAGAAGAAGGAATTGGAAGCTGTTGAGAATACAAAAAAAAAAGAAATCTCTTTCTGTACCCTAGCTACTAATCTTTTAGTGGCAGTGAATTTAAGCACTGCTTCCTTTTTTTATTCAGAATTCTTTTTTCAAGGCATAGTACAGAAATAATTGCTATTTACATATATCTGTATTGTACGAAAACCTGGTATAGTCATGAAGTTAACCATCTGTTTTGGATTACATGACTTCACTGAATATAAAATGGTAAAGTGGTGATCATCATAATTCTGCTCTTGTGATACAGATACCTACTGAAGTGCCCTACTTGCTGAAATAGATGGGAATTAGTTACCCAGATACTTCTTAAGTTCTGGTCATTAGTATTCTACTCCTTGTCAACAGTAGTTCAGTGTCAATAGGATATAATTCTGGTGTAAAACTATTTTCTGGGTTTAAAACAGAACCCTGTATTGTGACACTTTCACTTACAGCTTCATCACATCAATTGTTGGCAAAACCTATTTCACCTGTCAAAATACGTATGCATTGCATACTTTGCTTCAGTGGACAAAGGCAGCATCAATATTAAAAATGCACTTCCTGGTTTATTTCCTTGACTGAAAGAGTATTTGGTTATAATTTAAGATAGTTTTCCCAGTTACAAGTTTAAATTCTAGACTTATACATGTGTTCTTTTTACATTTAGCAGATACTAAAGCTGTAGATAAACAGTATGGTAGCAGCTTTTTGGCAGATGATTGTATGCTATTCAAAAAGTGAACATGCATAACCACCATCTCCAAGCAGGGTAAGAAATTACACTCCAAATGTGTAATTTCTTGTATGTTTGATGGCATTGGTAACTGAATCAACCAGTTAAACACATTAAACTTGAACTATATGTAGCATGTCAACTATATAAAATATCAAGTAGTTTTATTATGAAGGCACTTTTATTTAAAAGCAAAGCAGCATTAAAAGTAGATACTGGGATAGGTCCTTATTGGTTAATGTTCATTCTGTATGTGTAAAGGAATCAAGTCATCTTAGGCAAGACTGGGGAAAATGAGAATGAGAGAACAATAATCCTTACCCTGCCTTCTGCCATCCAAGGTAACAACATGAAAAGTAACAGGATTATTGCTGTAATAAGTTGCTCAAGTACTGCGGTTACTTTAGATTGTATAAAACCAATTATGACAGGTATAGCTAGAGGACTTAGCAAATCCAGGAAGTATGTAGCTAGAAAATAAGGTAATATATTGGCAAAATAACAAGAAAAACCCATATGTTCATAACTGCTTGTCAGCTTAGTGCAGTTTTTGGACACTGCTCATTGCGTAAGTTTAAGCAAATGTGACTGCGGTATAACATCTATGCAAATATAATACAGGATTCTATTTAAATATTTCATTTTCTAGCTACTGAAATGACCAATTTTCAGCAGATTCTGTTCCATCCTTTGAAAGTAGTCATTTGTTTCTGGCACTCTACTATTGGTGCCAATTCTTGCTGCTGTTGGAATTTTAAAAATACAGCCTCAGTGAAGTTTTTGATTAACACACAAAAGCCTTTACATAAAGGGAAGTCTTTTTTTCCCCCAATCGAAAAAAAAAAAAAAAAGACTTAGAACAGTTTTGTTATCTCACTTCCTTAGTAGCATCTAATTCCTCCTCCTCCTCCTCTTCCTCATCTTCATCTTCCTCGTCATCGTCGTCTTCATCTTTTCTTAGCATACTGCTGGAAATCTGCTAAAACAAAAATCCAACAAAAGTACATCAAGGTTTTGTTCTCCTCAAAGAAAAGCAATCCTCTGTTGGCATTTCCAGTCTTGATACTTGGAGGTTTTTCCTTCGGGCGGTGGGGGTAAGCTGTTTATCCCTTAACCCTTCAACTTCTAGTAACATGCACAAGAAAACAGAAAGATATATGGTACAGAATATAAATAAACCAATGATTTTTAAAAGCTAAAAAAACGCCTATAGTCCTGAGAACTATTACAGGATAGGAAAAACTATGTATTGATCAACTTAATGTTAAAAATCAACAGGATTTGTCATTTTTTTTCTGGGTTGGCTGTTACGACAGCAGGCTGAAGATGAGTATTAAGGCATAACCTTATCTTAGAGACGTCAAATGTCTTCACTTAAATGAAAAATTCAACACTATGCTGCTCTAAGCTGTTTTTGAGAATAAATTAGACAAACTTTACTAGAAGAGTCTTGATTCATATATGAACTTCTTTCCCTGCCCATCAGCACTTGCCCTTCAGAATGATACTGTAGTCCTTTTTTGGTTCATCAAATGTTAAAAACAAGTACCAGCTGCCAAGCTTTCATTTCATCTGACAGATTCTGCCAGTATATTTTTTCTAATGAGGGCTCAATCTTACTCCCATTGAAGATAGATTCTTCACAGAAGATGCAACATTTACAATTTAATGTAGAATATATGTATTTTTTTTCCTTCCCCATGAGAAAAGGAACATTAAACTCAAAGGTAGTTATCCAAGTCATCTGGAATACTTTAGAAAAATTATTTTAGGTTCAGCA